GTTCTACAACTTACCCTAGGCCCTGCCATTAATTGTACAAGCCCTGCCCTTGTTTGTTGGACCAAAATGCAACATCTCGCTTATATCCACATTGAACTCCACCTGCCATTTTTTAGCCCATTGACTCATTTGATCGAGATCCCTTTGTAATCTTAGAAAGTCCTCTTCCCTGTCTACAATGCCACCAATTTTGGTGTCGTCCGCAAACTCACTAACCATGCCTTCTATATTCTCATCCAAATTCTTTATATAAATGACACAAAAGTGGACCCAGCACCGATCCTTGTGGAACATCGATGGTCGCAGGCCTCCAGTCCATAGAACATTACAGCTCAGTACAGGCCCTTCGGCCCTCGAGGTTGCACTGACCTGTGAAACCAATCTGAAATAGAGCAACCCTCCACTATTACTCTCCGTCTCCTGTTGTTAAATCAGTTATGTATCCAATCGGAAAATCACTGAATCCCATGCGACCCAACTGTTTTTACTGTCAGGCGAACGTCACAACAGGCAAAGGGTTACTCACCGCTTCGTGCTCCTTTTCCAAAGCTGCTGTCGTGGGATCCATCTCTGCATAGGTCTGTGTGTGTGAGAGAGAGAGAGAGATAACTTCACATCTTCTGGACACAATTTGCAGGGAAGTATGTGGCAACAGCAGTTAGCTATTCAGTCCCACCGCCAGCGACGATCACAAACAATCTGTCCACGTCCACCCACGTTGACACGACAGTCAAGAAAGCACAACAACGCCTCTGCTTCCTCAGGAGGCTGTGGAAATTCAGCACGTCCACAAAGACTCCTTTTATAGATGCACCACAGAAAGCATCCTATCTGGATGCATCACAGCTTGGTCTGGCAATTGCTCTACCCAGGACCGTAAGAAACTACAGAGAGTTGTGAACACAGCCCAGTCCATCACACAAACCAACCTTCCATCCACTGCCTCCATCTACACTTCCCGCTGTCTCAGGGAGGCAGCCAATATCAAAGACCCCTCCCACGCACCAACAGATTGAAGAACAGCTTCTTCGCGCGCTGTTATCAGACTGAATGGATCTCTCAAATTGTAAATTGAAACGTTGATCTCGCTCTGTGTACCTTCTCTGCAGCCGTAACGTTGCATTCCTCGCTCTGATCTACTGCCCTGATGCAATTTGTATGGTATGATCTGCCTGCGCTGCACGCAAAACAAAACCATAATAAATCCAACCCAATCAAGGCCTGGGAGGAATATACTCAGCAAACCCCACCACCCCAACCCCACCACGGACGACGTCCTCACCTCCCAGGCTGGGTTGAGTGACCCTTGACAGGGCCAGACAGCTCCCTATCCCCCAACCCCGACCCCGCCACCACCCCCCCCGACAATACAAGTCCATTCTTCCTGACATCCAGAGATGGAAATTGCAGACAACATTCCAGGTATGGTCTCCCTGAAGCTGTGCACAACTGCAGCTAGAGATCCTTATTCCTGTAATCCAATCCCCCCACTCCCTCAACCAGCCACCGATCTCCTCAATCGCTCTCTACGCCCTCACCTTCTACGTTCTTTGTCCTGTTCTTGCATGATACACAGACAGATTGTACCGTACAAGTGTGTCAGGACACAGCGTTACAGCTACCAAGACGGTACACAGAGAGAGATCAAATTAACAACAAAGAGGTCTGCTCAAAGGTCCTACCCTGGGCATGCATAGGGACCGCTTAGACTGGTCTATAAGTAGAAACCCTTTAGCTTCCTCAGACCAACAATCTGCACTGGGCCCACGGAATTCAATTTCTACCTGTAAGCATCGCGGCCTGACTTTCCACAATGTGGATGGGGGCTGGAAGTGAGTGCGAAGGCGAGGAAACACACTGGGACAGAGTAGGCAGGATAGAAAGAATGTGTGTGCGAGAGACAGTGTATGAGAGTAAGTGTGCATGAGTGTGTGTGTGCGCATGAGAGTGTGTGTGTGACAGTGTGTGTGCGTGAGTGAGTGTATGCGTGTGAGAGAGTGTGTGCGCGTATGCATGTGATAGAGAGTATGCGTGTGAGAGAGAGTGTGAGACAGACTGTGTGTGTGCGTGTGTGTGTGAGAGACTGAGTGTATGTGTGAGTGTATGCGCGTGAGAGTATGCGTGCGTGTGAAAGTGTGTGTGTGCGTGAGTGTATGCAAGAGCGAGTGTATGCGCACAAGTGTGCGTGAGACAGTGAGTGAATGCACGTGAGAGGGTGCGCGAGTGTGCGCGAGAGAGCATGAGCATGCGCACATGTGCGAGAGCGCGAGACAGTGCGGGCGCGCGTGAGACAGTGCGAGAGAGAGCGCTGAGAAAGCACGTGAAGATGCGTCTGCGTCCCACCCTGTACCTTCTGGATGTGGTTGATCTCGTCGTGTTTGCGTTTCTGGTTGCGGGTGATCTTGCGTTCGGGCTGGTCGGAGAGTTCGCTCATGTACTGGTCGCTGGTTTTCTGCACGGCTTCCTTCAGTGTCTTAGTCAGTGCCAGGCGGTTCTTGTCCACCCACTCATCCAGCCGGCGGTTAACTGCCGAAGCCCAAAACAGGGGGTGGTGGGGGGATCGTAAGGGGAAGGAGACAGGAAAGACCATTCAGAACAGAGTCATACTCTCTCCCTGACTCCCTCCACCCTGTCCAACCGGGGAGGGGGAAATGCGCGCAGACATACAGACCCTTGTTAACTCACCCCGACCTCCCCAACAACTTTGTCAGCTCCAACTGAGATAAACATTGTGGAAGATCCCCCGACCTTTACCAACCAGGATGCTGCACTGACAGGGATAGTTGCTTGGGATTTGGGATTTCCTGACCAGACGGGATACTCACAGCCCACATAATGAACGTAAAACTCCTCACGAGCTTCCTGCTCATTCAGTCGAGACTGGATCACCTCCGCCGAGTCTGCAAGAGTTCAACAGTCAGCAGGTTAGCTTCTGGGTAATCCCACTGCTCCCCCGCTCCCTCCCCACAGCCCCGTATCGATCCCCAAACTAATCCCACTGCCCCGCTCCCTCCCCCCACAGCCCCGTATCCATCCCCAAACTAATCCCACTGCCCCGCTCCCTCCCCCCACAGCCCCGTATCCATCCCCAAACTAATCCCACTGCCGTGCTCCCTCCCCTCATAGCCCCGTATCGATTCCCAAACTAATCCCAGAGCCCTGCTCTCTTCACATAGCCCTAAATCAAATCTCCAAACTAATGCACAGCGGGGAAACATCATGGGGGTGGGTGTCCTTTTGAAGAGCAACACGTGTGCGTTGGTGGGGGGGATGCTGGTCACTGAGAGATACTAAGGGACACATTGTATGAACTGTTTGATTGCGATGTGTTAGCTGTCTGTTGGGTTGGGGTGTGTAGAGGGAAGATGAAGAAATGCAGGTGACCCATCGCGTTGGGGAACGGCACGACGGAGAGGGGGCCAGAGGTCAAGAGATCACGCCACCAACCCCCACCCCCCAACCGCAAGTGGATGGCAGCAAAAGGAAATGGTTTGATCATCTATTGATGGCCGGCTGTGGTCACAGTGACCAGTGCCAGGGGGTGGGCAGGGATCGCCGAGCAATTGCACCGTCTGTCTTACGGCAAACCAGGGGGATGCGGAGTCAATGGACTGGGTTATCTTTCAGGGAATGGGGGTGGGGAACCGGGCCAGGAGATCGCTGAGCCAATCAGACGGGCGCCTTTGGATTCAGAACGTTCCGTCACGTCCTGAGTCGGGTATTCCACAGAATGGAGTGGAGCAACGCCGGCGGGGAAAGGAGGTCTCCAAGGAATTCCCACAGCAACCCGAGCAGACATCGGGTGACAGAATGCAGGGAGCTATCGACGCCGAATGGCCCAGCGGCAGAGGAACAGAAGGTAACCGGGCTCCAAGCAATACCGGGGAAGACAGGCATGGTGGTGGGAAGGAAGAAAGTCTTCAAGAGTACCCCCTGACAATTGGAGCAGATGCTGTGGGGGAAGAGTCCGAAACAATAACAAGAAGCTGCTGGAAAAGCTCAGCGGGTCTGGCAGCATGTGTGTGGAGAGAA